TGTGCCGCCTCATCGCCCCCAACCGAGGACAGCGTCTCGGGCGGGGCGGTAGCATACTGAACTGTGGCTGCGAAATCGATGTGGGCGTCCAACTCGGCCAGCTCGTCCAACGGGTCGAGGACTGCGTCCATTGTGCTGATGATCGGTGGGTTGTCGTAGTTCTTGGTCTCTGACGGTAGGCGTCCCGTCTCACCATTCCGTCCAGGGTCGGGTAGTAGTCGGCTAAAGAGGCTGCTGCGCTCCAGCCGCGGCGGTCGCGGTGGGCTTGCGCATCTGGCTGAGCATCTTCTGTGCCTTGTCTTCGAGGTCGAGGTCCTTGTTGATCGCTGGTACAGGCTGTGCAGCGAAGCTGCCGTCAGAAGTAGCGCCAGCAGCAGGTGCGGGAGGCTCATCGCCTGGCGCCGCTGTCGATGAGGCCGCAGAGCCATCAACGTCCGCTGCGGCTGCCGCTGGGGGTTCGCCTGCTGCCGCCGAAGCGGCGGGCGGAGATCCACCTCCCACTCGGGCGTGACCGTCCTCTTCGGACCGCTGTCGCTTGGCGGCGAAGCGCGTGCGCATGGTGCTGGCCTCTGTGCGGAGCTGGCTGATGCGGCTGGCGGTGTTGCCGAAGAGCTCGGTGACCTTGGCCTTGAGCTCCGTGGCGAAGCGCTGCTGAAGGGATTCCCATGCCTGGCGATCGCTGTCGTCGATGTCAAGGCCTTGGAGATCGAACGCCGAACCCGCTTCGATGGATATGTCACCGTCCTCGAGGAGGCTGGCGAGGTTGAACGTCGGGTTCTGCTGCGAGGCCGTGGGAGTAGCAGTGCCGCCCTTGCGAGCGACTTGAAGGGCATCAAGAGCGGCTTGAGCCTCGGCCTGGGCTTCTGCCAACTTGTAGGCGGCCTCCTCCGACGCCGCCTTGCGCTCAGTGTACCAGCTGAGCGCCTTTTGCTCACTCTCGAGCAGCCTCTCCAGGTTGTTATTGCAGCGGCGCTCCGTGGCCTGGGCGCGGCTGTAGATGTCGTTGAGGTCGGCTGGCTTCTGCGGCTGGGGGGGCGGGATCTGGGACTTGATACCGTCGATGGCTGCCTTGTCGATGTGGGGGGCGATCGCCTGGAGCTCCGCAAGGATGTCCTCTGCGGAGCGCACCTTGGGGGTGCCGTTCTTGTTGGCCCACCAGTCGTCCTCTTGGTTCTTGCCATTGCCATTGCCTCGGCGGCGGCGGGACTTGGGCCATGACGACCACGGTTCCCATCCCGTCTCGGGGCTGGGCTGCTGGGTACAGCTGGAGTCGGCCTGGGCTGCGGCCTTGGCGCGGGCCGCCCAGGCGCCTTGAACTGGAGGCGGGGAGTCTGTCCACGGCGCCAAGGCTTTGCTGCACCAGTAGCACGTCTGGTTGGTCTTGTAGTTCCAGGAGTACGAGCAGGAGTAGCACTTGACATAGGCGCTGCGCTGCTGCGGAGGCGCCATGGACGAGAGAGACTGAGGAAACTCACCTGCGGGCTGCAGGAGGCACACGGAGAGTTGAACAAAGCTGTCGGGCTCAAGAGCCCTGGCACTGGCCGCGGACTAGCGGTATCCACTTGTTCCACTGTGGAACTAGGCATCTTGAGCCAAAATGGCTACGGAGGAGGAGGAGGATGGGATGAGAGGAGAGAGAGAGGAGGAGGAGGAGGGAGGAGGGGAGAGGAGGAGTAGAGGAGAGGAGGGAGGAGGAGAGGAGGAGGAGGGGGAGGAGGAGGAGGAGGACCTCCTCATCCCTCCTTCTCCCCCGTCCTACATATGGTAGTGGTGGTGGAAAATTTGCCCATCAGTGCTACCACCATCGCCGCGGTCGGGGTCCTCTTTCCCAGGGCCGAAGCACACCGCCGACAGAGGCCCCCCCAGCTTCGCGCACCGCGCTCCGCAAGGCGCACCCTGACCTCCGGCTGCTCCAATCTTGCCGATGCGTGGGCCCCCGGAGGCCCGGCCTGTGATGGACTTCTTTTCCACCACCACCACCACCGCCGCCCTCCTCCTCCTCTTCTCCTCTTCCTTCTCCTATTTGTTTTTTTTTCTTCCTCCTCCTCCTCCTCCTCCCTTGGGTGTGTGCCCGAACGTCCCGAGCAGCCGGCGGAGACCCGAGCTCCTCCTCCTCCTCCTCCGCCTCCTCCTCCTCCTCCTCCTCCTCCTCTCCTCCCTCTTCCTCCTCCTCCTCCTCCTCCTCCTCCTCCTCCTCCTCCTCCTCCTCCTCCCTCTTCGACCTATCGTAGCGGTTGTGGAACATGGGCCCATCAAATATCTGGGCTTCGTGGGTGGCCGACAAATTGCCAGCAACACCGAGATCCAGGACCATCTTGCCTCGGTGGAGGCCCCCCCCCGTGCGTCGGTGCTGGTGCTCTCGTCCCAGCCTCCAAACCCAGGGGCCGCTTCCGGAGCCCGTCCCTTCCAGTTTCTACGAGCGTCTGGCTGCGGCGGGCCCGCCCTCGTTCGCCTGCCCCGCTGCGCGCCCGACGCTTCGCCCCTCGCGTGCTTCACACTGTTCGCTCGACTTCCGTGCGCCAGTCTTCGCTGCCTGGTGCCGCCCGCGCGCTCCTCGTGGCGAAGAGCCTCCGCTCCAGGGGCCTCCTCCTCCTCCTCCTCCTCCTCCTCCGCCTCCTCCTCCGCCTCCGCCTCCTCCTCCGCCTCCTCCTCCTCCTCCTCCTCCTCCTCCTCCTCGTGAGGTGGGACCACGCCCGTGGCCGCCCCCCGCGGTCCCTCCGCGGAAGCCCTCCTTGCCACCCAGCTGGTTCGCCTCTGCCCCGCGCGGCCCGCCGGCCGGCCGACCGCGTGTTGGTGTCCGGCTGCGCCGCGGGCCCGGCAGGTTGCCGAGCTCTCGCGGGAGAGACCCGCGGAGCTCGCCGCAGTGCGCGCGGTGGGGCGAAGCGGCAGGGGCAGGCGGGGGCCGTCGTGCGCCGAGCGTGGGCCGGGTGGACCGCGTGTGCGGACGGGCCCGTCGCGAGCGGGGGGGGGGCAGAGCGGGCCGTTGGACGTGCTGGCGTGGGGGTGGGGGGTGGTGGTGTTGCGCGTGTCTACCGGCGTGGGCCCCGAATTGTGGGTGCGGGCCTCTCGATGTGCAGTCTCTGTGGTGCAGTGTCTGTATTGCTGAGCATCTGCGGTCCAGGCTCGGCGGTGTAATCTATGGAGTGCAGTCTGTGTTGTGCAATCTAAGGGCTGCGACCCGTGTTGCAAGTTACGTGGTACAATCTGATTCGAAAAATTTGAATTCGTCAACTCTAACGCTCGAAAAAACCTCTCACCCACTAATGCGCAACTTGTGGCAAGAAGGCCGTGAGTGCAATCACTGATCGGAACTTCCAAGTCCCAGCAGGCGCCATCGCGCGCGGACTCTTCTCCTGCACATCCATGGCACGGGTGGGCGAGTGGTGATGATGATGATGATGATGATGATGATGATGATGATGATGATGATGATGATGATGATGATGATGATGATGATGATGATGATGATGATGATGATGATGCTGCTGCTGATGATGATGATGATGATGCTACTGGTGTTGATGATGACGATGATGATTATGATGATTATGATGATGATGATGATGATGATGATGATGATGATGGTGATGGTGGTGATGGTGATGGTGATGGCGTTGATAATGATGGTGACTAGGATAGTGATGGTTGTGGTGCTGATGATTATGATGCTTATGATGATGATGCTTATGCTGATGCTGATGCTGATTTTCTCATCATGATTAGTAATTTTAGTAGTGCCACTGTGGTGATGGTGATGATGATGATGATGATGATGATGATGATGATGATGATGATGATGATGGTGGTGGTGGTGGTGGTGGTGGTGGTGATGATGGTGGTGGTGATGATGATGCTGCTGATGATAAGGATGCTGCTGATGATGATGATGATGATGATGATGATGATGATGATGATGATGATGATGATGCTAATGCTGCTGCTGATGATGCTGCTGATGATGATGATGATGCTGATGATGATGATGATGATGATGATGATGATGCTGATGATGATGATGATGATGATGATGATGATGATGATGATGATGATGGTGATGATGATGCCGACGCTAATGCTGATGCTGATGCCGATGATGATGCTGACGCTAAAGCTGATGCTGATGCTGATGGTGATCAGGATTCAACATGCTTGTTTGAAAAGCAATAATTCTGCCTCTGCGCAAGGGAACCAGGCCGCGAGAAGAGCGCCGCGCGCCGCGACCCATGACGCCGCCACCGACGTCATACGAAGACGAGGCGCCCGCGATCCGCGCCGCATCGCCTCGTCGTTGCCCTGTGGCTCTCGGGCCGCAGCTCGGGTCTTTGGTGGCCGCGCGCGTCGATCCGGGTACCCCGTCCCCCTGACGCTGCCCTTGGTTTCTGGGCGGGGGAGGAGGCGGAGGCGGAGGAGGAGGAGGAGGAGGAGGAGGAGGAGGAGGAGGGGGAGGCGGAGGAGGAGGAGGAGGAGGCGGAGGAGGAGGAGGAGGCGGAGGAGGAGGAGGAGGAGGAGGAGCTCGGGTCTCCGGCGGCTGCTCGGGACGGTTCGGGCACACCCCAGAACGCGCTTGGCGGCGCGCAGCTGCTGACGGGCATCCATCCCGACAGCCGCCAGGGGGCTGACGAAAATGCCAGAGAACCCCACCCCCTTGAAGGCTCTAGGCGGGGCGCCGCTGCCAGAACGGATCATCGAAACAGGAAAGTCGGTAGCAACTCATCGGAGCCTGGCGTACCCTGTTAATTCTGTCTGTAGCGTCGATTAGCGTCGATTAGCGTCTGGGAGTCGATGAGATACCGCCGATTTGGTCTCGGTCAGCGTCGAATAGCTTCGAGTCAGCGTCAATTAGCGTCGACTGCTGTCGACTAGCGGCGACTCGCAAGAGCCGACAGCATGGTATGGGAGGCTCCCATGAGCTGCCACCGAAAGGAAAGCTTGCAGGGAGCCGGCCGAGACGTCCGACCCCCCCCCGAGCCTGCGCCCTCGCCCCGCCCCCCCCTGCCGGCAGGATGAACAGCAGCGCCTCGTGGGTGGGGCCCGGCATGCTTTTCCAGACGCCCGAGCCAGAGGCGGAGGACCCGCCGCTGCCCTGGTTAGGGGGCCACTTGCGAACCCTACCCCTACCCCCTACGATTTCTGAGGGGGAGGGTGGGGTTCACTTCGTTCGGTGAGAGGACCCGCCGCTGCCCTGGTATAGGGGAACAAAGAGTGTCATAAACATAAAAGACTCGGAGGTCCGCGCGGATTTCTCGGATCGGCGCTGGACCCCTCTCCCTGGCGCGCGGAGCGCGCCAGGGGCGGCGCTGGAGGCGCCGCCGGGGGGCCCCAGCGCCGATCCGAGAAATCCGCGCGGACCTCCGAGTTTTTATGTTTATGTCACTCTTTGTTCCCCTATGGTAGGCCGTTTTCTGCCTTCAACCGGTCGGGGGGGTAGGCCCCGACGGAGTTTCGAGGCTCCAGCTTTTCGCATGGTGTCGCCGCTGCTCGGCGGTTTTCCAGCCTCGGGGTGCCTTCCATCGAACAACAAAAACGGTGTACACATAAGCTTTTGGCGGTCAGTGCGGATTTCTTGGATAGGCGCTGGCCCCCCCCGGTAGCGCCTCTGGCGCCGCTACTGGCGCTGTCCATGCGCCACAGAGGGTGGGTCCAGCGCGGATCCACAAATTCCGCGCGGACTTCCAAAAGTTTCTGTCCATGCCGTTGTTTGTTGTTCTCTTCCAGCGGTTGCACCTTGCCGAGGGCGTTTTCCCCGGGGCTGCCAGAACCGCCCCGGGCGAGGACTCTTGGGAGCCTCTTGGGGGTCTCTTGGGAGCCTCTTCGGGGCCTCTTCGGGCTTCCTAGGAACCTCTTGTGCGCCTCGAGTTCTCTAAAAGGAAAGGGCATGGAGGGGGAGGGGGAGGAGAAGGAGGAGGAGACGGCGGATGAGGAGGAGGAGGAATAACAAGATAATCACACATAGTACGCAGAAGCAGGAGCAGACACATATCCATACATATTGTAATACTGCCACGAATACTAGCAATAACACTAATACTACCAATAATGAGAAGACGAGTACGATATTAATAACAAAATTATGATTGGCGGCACTAATACTGACAGCACCACTACCAGTAATAATAAGATGAATAATGAGACGAAGACGACGAGCAAACCACATGATAGTAGTAGGAAAGCTAGCAAGCAGAAACATATTAATACTACCCATGATCATTACATAGTCATGATAACTCATTTTAGCAACATTTATACTCACAACCAGTGTTGCTAGTTTTGACGGTCACAAAACGAATACTGATGATATGTAGAATATTCATAAGGTCATTGATCGTAATCATGTTATCAATAATAGTATGCATAGAAATAATACTAATACTTACAAGAGAAATTAAGCATCTTAATATACTGGCACGAAGAAGAAGAGGAGGAAGCGGAGGAGGAGGAGGAGGAGGAGGAGTCAGCCCCCTCTTCTGTCCATGGAGAAGGACCAAAGGAGTTGACCCCCTGTGACGCCCGAGGCGAGGATCTGTCCACAACCACCGCCCAGGGGATCGGTATTCGGAGCCCTTCCGCAGGCGGCAGACGTGGATGCATTCGGGGCCTGCTTTGGCCCAGATCTGTCCATGGCCATCGCCCCCCGGGGGCCCCAGGATCTGCATAGGTCTCCGCCTCGCACGACGGGGTGGAGGGCCGCTGTCTGCGACGCCACCCCTCTTTTCTCAGACGCAAGGCGAAGGCTGGCAAACCCGTGGCTGGTAAAGCGGAGCTCCGGGAAATTGTTTTATTCTTCCGTGAAGCAGCCCGTTTACTAGTTTGTGCGCCGAGTTTAGTTCCGGGAATTTGTTTTGAATTCCAGGAAGACCGTTTTAGCAGCCACGGATTTGCCAGCCCTCGCCCAGCTTCCGATTTTCCCTGCTGGGATGTGCACAGCTCGAGTCGGGCATCCACTACAGAAATGGTGTGCCCCAGAATCGTTTGTTCGTTGTTCCTTTCGCCGAAGTCAGGGAACAGACGCACCGCTTCTGTAGATCTGCTGGCGTCCCACGTGTGTGCTGCGGCTTCGGCGTGAGAATCAGTTTTTAGGGTACATCGATGCTGTAGTCGATCCCCTGGCCGGACGGCCAGAGCCTCCCCTAGCCCCGCACTTCCCCTGCGCCAGCACCTCGGCTGTACGCCGAGCGAGGAGGGGCCCGCCCGAGCAGACCCGGAGCCCACTGGCCTCCTGCGGGGCAGGGGGCGGCTTTGCTTTCGGGCTGGCATGAGCCGAGCCTCAGTCATTCCGATCCGATCGGGTCCTCCTCCTCCTCCTCCTCCTCCTCCTTCCTCCTTCCTCCTTCCTCCTTCCTAGGGCCCCCTTGGCCTAATGGACAAGGCGTCGGACTTCTAATCCGAAGATTGCGGGTTCGAGTCCCGCAGGGGGGTCCTTCCTCCTTCCTCCTTCCCTCCTCCTCCTCCTCCTCCTCCTCCTCCTCCTTCTTTCCCTCTGCTTCCCCCCTCGTCCCTGTCGGCGCGCCGCCGAGAACAGGAGGTCGAGGCGCAGGACGCCAGAGCAGTCCGCAGCTTCGAGGAGGAGTCTCGGAGATCCTTGTGGGCCCACGGGGATCCTCTTTGGACGCCCGAAGTGGGCACGGAAAGAATGGGTACAATGCCCAACAGCAGTTCCTGCTCATTCTGAACAGGACTCGCTGTCGGTGTCGCTGCGGCCCGTGTCCATTTGAGACAGAAGGCCGCCTGCCCAACAGCGGCCGCTGCTGGTTTGGGACGACATTTGTTGTTGAGCATTGTACCCGTTGTTTCCGCACCCAGTTCGGGCGTCCAAATCCTCAGGGGCCCTGGGGATTCCTCGGAGGCCCACATCTCAGGGATCCGGAGGAATCCCGCGGAATCAGCGCCTGGGGGCGCCTGGGAGCGCCTGGGCGCGCGCCGGGAGCGCCTGGGAGCGCCTTGGGAGCGCTTCGGAGCGTGCCGCGAGCGCCTGGGAGCGTGCCGCGAGCGCTTGGGGAGCGCCTGGGAGCTCCTGGGAGCGCCTGGAAGCGTCTGGGCGCCATGGGCGCCCGAAAGCGCGCCGCAGGCTGTATTTTCATATGGTTTGCGGCCCCACGGACGGCCGAAAGGGCGCCGCATGCTGTATTTTCCCTGTCGTCACTGGCCCCGCTGCAGGACCTGATGGTGAGCAGGCAGAGGAGCTGCGACTCGATCCTGCACTCGCCCAGGCACCGGGACCGCGAGATCGACCGGAGCGCCACCAGGAGATGCGCCCGGCTTCGGCGTCACCCCAACATACTTATACTATGTGTGCGTCGCCCCCCCAGGGGCGACGCGCGCACCGAGCAATCTTATAGTATATACGTCGTGGCGGGCGCTTTCTGGCCATACCGCTCGGGAGACGATATACTACAAGATGGGTATACTATGTGTTCGGGTCGGATGCGCGCCTCCAAGGCGGACATCTAGTATTAGTATGTTTCTGTGCGTCCCATGGCTTCCTGCAGAGAGGGGGATCGTCCGGCCTGGAGCAAGGTGTCGAGCAGATTGCTGCGAGGATGGTCGACCGTATTGTTCAGTAATTCTGAGTTCGCTCGTGGCGTGACATCCCGACCCCGAACCGAACCTCCAGAGGTCGGTTTTGGAGGTCGCCGCGGCGATCCCGGCGGCCACAAGTCGGGGCAAGGTGATCGTCAAGGAGCTTCATGCCCCTTCTCAGACCCCCGCCCCCGATCTGTGGCATGGACGCGGCTCATGATTAGCAGAGTGTGGCGACAAAGAGCTGTCAGTGAATGTCCAGCGTGGGTAGTCGTGTGTTTTTTTGGTGAGGGGTCGATGACCACGCAACCATTCACAGAGACTGGTCTGGGAATATGTGTGCTCGCGGACCTCGTCCACGCCAGAGTTCTCTCTAGGTCTCCCAGATGGGGTCGGAGTAGACGGGGTCGGAGGATCGCGTCGCATTGCCGATACATCGGGGATGTGGCTCGATGTGGAGCCCGATTCTGTCCACGCAAGCGTCGCCGATGCATCGCCGACGAATCGTCGATGCATCGCCGACGCACCGGCGATGCGGCGCGAGCCTCCGACCACATCTGCTCCGACCCTATCTGGGAGGCCTCCAGTTCTCGGCCAGGGTAAAGTCGGGCCTGTCCCTCTACAGAGGGGGGAAATTTTGAGATATGTAAAACAATAGTCCGGGGACGATCTTTAGAGCATTTTTGACCATTTGGGGGATATTCTCTACTATTTTGAATTTTTCGCACAAAATCCCCCTGCAGGGGGACGGGTCCGACCTGAGGCCAGGGCCGCCTGGGCCCAGCGGCGGCCGCGCACCGCACGTGCGCGGCCAGGCGCGCGCCGGTGCACGTGCTCACGGGCCTCGCCCACGCCAGAGTTTTTGTTGGGACGCCCGAAATGGGTACGGAAATAAATGGGTACAATGCTCAACAGCAAATGTCGTCCCAAAGCAGCAGCGGCCGCTGGTGGGCAGGCGGCCTTCTGCCTCAAGTGGACACAGGCCGCGGCGACACCGACAGCGAGTCCTTTTCAGAACGAGCAGGAACCGCTGTTGGGCATTGTACTCGCTCTTTCCGTGCCCACTTCGGGCGTCCGAAGTTTTCGCCCAGGGCCGCCTGGGCCCAGAGACGGCCGCGCACCGCCGGGGCGCGGCCCGGCTCGTGCTCGTGCGCAGCTGCGCGGTCGGGAGGTCTGGGCGATCAGGATGGGGAAAGCCGTGCAGACACGCTGAATCGTCGACTCCCAGGAAAAATGGGGGAACATGTGGGAGATAGGGGGGGGAAGCCGCGAGTCCAGAAGTGTGGGGAAATAGGGGGAGTCCTGGGGCTTGTATCTCTTTGTTTGTGTGTCTCAGGGCCCCTGTAGACGAAGCAGGCGAATGCAGGTTCCCGTTGGAGCTGGCTGGTGGTCTGAGGTGGCCTGGCGCTGGTCCCGGCCAGCAGGAGGTGGGGCCAGGGGTTCGAGGGGAGGCTTTTTGTTGCCCTGTTCGGCCCCTGGTGGCCGCTTTCGGGCCCCAGGACCTGCAAAACGGATCCAGTATGAAAAACTGCACCAGGTGGAGCCCTGGAGGGTTCCAGGAACCGATTTTGAGCGGAGTTGCCCTTGTTCCCCTTCCTTGTAGATTTTCTCGGGGCCCATCCGGTTCACACCCTTTGTGGCCGCCTCCAAGGTGCCCCCACAGTTGTTTGCCAGGTCGATCGTTGCTAGTTTCTTCACGCTTCGTGTATCCTTGCTTGCCCATCCACGAGCGATGCCCCTGAGAACCGCCCTTGCCGGGGGCCCCTTGTGTGGCCTTTTAGGCCGTCTTGGGGGCCCCTCTCGGCTTGCTGGGTCGATGGTTTCTAAATCGCGAGCCGGAGAGTGGAGGTAATCGCAGAAGGTCTTCAATGTTGTACCCCCTTCCCCCCCTAAGCGCCCGGCTGGGAATGCTAGTTCTCCCTCTCCTCCTCGCCCTCCCTTTCTCGCCCTCGTCGTCGCGATCGTCGTCGCCCACGTCTTCTCGCCCTTGTCGTCGTCGTCGCGATCGTCGTCGTTGTCGCCGTCTTCATACGGTGCCCGTGCGCAACATGAGCTCGCCATGGTTGTGCTGTGCTGAGCGTGGTATTATTTGCCCACTGTTGTTCGCCGTGCTGGATATTGTTGGGTGGTTATTCCTTCCACTGGAGGATGCTTCCTGGGCTCCCCGCGACAGAGGACCGTTGAGCTTGATTGCGCGAGGAATGCCAGATCGTTCGCTGCGTTTCCAGTCGAATCGGCGCGCCAGGACTCGATTTAAGTCGGGCGTGTCCCTCTACAGGAGGAATATTCAAAAATAATCCAAAAATACTCTCGGGACGATTTTTGGATTATTTCTGGCCATTCTGGATTATTTTTTTTAATCATTTTCGATTCTTCGTCGAAAATCCGCCTGTAGGGGGGCACGCCCGACCTAAGACTCGAACTGTGAGGTCCAACTTTGATTTGGGGGGGTCGGCTCCCCCGCATCAGACGCCGGGGAAACAAGCCCCCCAAATCAAGTCTGGGGCCCTGAGGTCGTCGACTTCGGGGGCCCAAATTTGATTCGGGAGGTCCGAGCTCGATTCGGGGCCCGAATCAAGTTGCGGGGGGTCGACTCCCCAAATCAGCGCGAGCCCGGGAGGTCGCCGACTTCAAGGGGCCCAGGCTGGACTTGGAGGCCCAAAGTTGACTTGGGGGAGTTAGCTCCCCCAAATCAAGTTCGGGGGGCCGCTACAAAAAATCATGGTTGGGCCCCTGTGGTCGTCGATCTCGGGGGCCCGAACTTGATCTGGGCGGTTCAAGCGTGATTCGGGGGGGCCGACCCCCCAAATCAAGTTCGGGGCAGTCGACTCCCCCAAATGAAGCTTGAGCCTCCGGGGTCGCCGACCTCAGGGGTCGAAACATGATCTTGGAGTTCCAAACTTGATTGGGGGAGTCGACTTCCCAAGATCAAATTCGGGGGGGGTCGACCCCCCCAATCAAGTTGACCCAGAGGTCGTGGACCTCGGGGACCCAAGCTTGGTATGATGCCAAAATTTGATTCTTCGGGGCGACCCCCCCGAATCAAGTTTTTGGAGTCGCCTGCCCCACATCAAGTTTGGCCCCGGAGGTCGTCGAACTCCGGGGCTCATGCTTGCCCTGGCAGGTCCAAACTTGATCGTTGAGGAGCCGATTCCCCCAGTTCAAGTCCAGGGAGGTCGACTCCCCCCAATCGAATTGGGGCCCCGGAGCCTGTCGAACATGAGGGCCCAAGCCCGATCGGAGAGGCTCGGGGGCGTCGACTCCCCCGAAGCAAGAGTTTGGGGGGTTCGACCCCCCCCACTCAAGTTTGGGCCCCGGGGCCTAAACTTGATTTTGATTTTGAGGTCCAACCTTAATTTTGAGGAGTCCGAAAGGGGCCTAAACTTGATTTTGAGGTCCGACCTTGATTTGGGGGAGTCGACGCCCCCTCCTCCGTCCCTGCCCCTCTTCGACCACCCCCCTCAATGCTGCCCCTGCTGCTGCTCTTCCTCGCCCTCCTCCTGCTGCTGCTCCCCCTCCCCCCTCCCCCTCCCCCCTCCTCATCCTCGCCCCCCCATCCGCCGCTTCTTCCTCCTCCCCCCTCCCCCCTCCTCCTCCTTCTCTGTCCCCCTCTTCCTCCGCCTCTTCCTTCTCCCCCGTCCTCCTCGCCCCCCCCTCCCTTCCCCCCCCCCGAGTGTCGGAATTTCAGGGCAGATTGTTGTTGCTCAGTGGGTATTGTAATCTACGAGATGAGTTTTTGGAGCCTGGAGATGTGGAAGCCCAGAGCCAACTTGGAGCCGTTGCTGAGCTGAGTGCGCTGAGCTCTCCTGAGCCCCCACTTTCTCAGATGTCCCAAGGCTTCCTGGACTTGGTTTACAGGAAGCTCATCTCTGGTCCGAGGAGGGCCTGCCGCCCGATACGTTTCTGTCGGGGAGGTCTGCGTTGACGGGAGCGTGGCCAAAGATGGCCGCCCATGGTTTCGCGGCCAGGCCGTCATCGCGCTAGAGTTAAGTCGGGCCTGTCCCTCTACAGGGGGGAATATTCAAAAATAATAGAAAACCCTGGGGCGTTTTTTTTGTAATTCCAATGTTTGAGCTTTTTTTATGACTATTTTTAATGTTTCGCCCAAAATCCGCCTGCAGGGGGACGCGCCCTACCTAATGCTAGAGCTTTCTGGCTCCCTCTCCGGTTTCCTGCGGGGCCCCGTGGGAGCTGGCTTCAGCGTCGTCGCCAGCACCGGAGTGCCCAGTTGGCCGGCCGGTTCGGAGGTATCACCCAGATCCGTTCTGATCATAAAACGCGTCGTGTATGTTCAAAACCTCCACGCTTTCGCGAATAGGAACAATATTCAGTCGGGCCTGTCCCTCTACAGGAGGATCATGAAATAGCTCGAAAATAGTAAGGGGACTAATTTTTGAGTTTTTTTTTTTTTTTTTTTTTTTTTTTTTTTTTTTGTTTTTTTTGTTTTTGTTTTTTGACTATTTGCATTTTTCGTTCAAAATCCGCCTGTAGGGGACACGCCCGACCTAAGGATAATACGTCGGACGGTCTTGGATCCCTGGCCAAGCGTGGAGCGGTCAGCCGAGACGATGGATCTGCTATGGGCAAGGTGAAAGCCATCAAGGTTTCAGCTCTTCTGGCCCTTTCCCTGACCAGTGGTGGCACGCCAGTAGAAATCCAGAAGCCGACCGCGTGGCCAAAGGTGCCGCCGCTAAGCCCCCCGAGCCTTCGGAGGTGGAGATATCCCAGTAATCTGAGCTCGCCAAGCGGTTACGTTCCTTAGATACGTTCCTGAGGCCTTCGCCGTACAGCCCAGAGTGGCCCCAAGGGTAGGGGGCAAGGCCAAAAGGTCCCCGTTCAAACCGCTGATCCTGTGGTATAGTGGAGACCCATGCCAAGAAGCACCCTGCTTGCCTCCAGGGTGCCCTTGGTTTCTCGGGTTTCGATGGTGCTGCTGTGGCGAGCGTGACGTTCCCACACCAACAAAAAGCAATGGACGCCCTGGGGTCTCAGGGTTGGGCTTCTTGTGGGAGGCTTCTTGTGGCCGAGCCCACACGGCAGGTGGTCGGGAGTGCTGCGTGCCCTGGAGCTGCCGCGGCCCCTCCCCCCCCTGTGGGGCCCCCATGGAGGCTCTCGTGCGGCCCGCGCCCGGAGAGCCAGAGAGTGCGGCCGCCGGCCCCCGGCCTTCGTTGGCGCTCGAGCTGCTTGACTGATAGGACCAGTGCTGCGTGAGAGGATCGGGGGCGGAAAAGAGGGTGGTGATGACTAGGGGGGGGTGAATATATCATGGCGTGGGCCATGATTTTGCCCCAGTTCTCATGGCGCCTCTTCTTGATTCATTACGTGCCTCGGCCCCCCCAGGGGCCGCGCACATGCCGCCGGCCATGATTTGCGCCCCCCCCTCTTGGACGCCCCCCTCTTGGCCGCTCCCGAGAGGAGGCAGCCTGCCCTGGAAGGGCGCCGGGGCTGGCCACGCTGGCGATCCAGCCTGGTGGTTCCCAGCTCCCCGTGTTTGAGGCAAGTCGCGGTGCACGGTCCAGTGGTTGCGTGCAAGTCTTATGGCAGGTGCAGCGAGCGTCTCCCGTCCTTTCTTGCGCAACGTGTCGCCGGTGTTCGTGGGATCTCCGTTGCAGCGGGCGACGCCCTCAGGAGCTCAAACAGGAGCCACATTGTGCACCGAGCCCCGATCCCATGCAGGCAGCAGCCCCAGGTGCTGCCATGCAAGCGCTCGAGTCGCCACAGCAGGTCGTGCCCCCCCCCTCCGAAGCCCAGGCTCATGCGGCCCGGTCTTTGGGCGCCGTGGCCGCCCGATAATCCGGGCTGGTCTTCGACGTCCGGTCTTCGACGGGGCCCGTTCGTCAGGAGGGGAAAGAACACACAGACACAATTCATCGTCGATTCCCCAGAAAATATGGGGAAAGATGGGAAGTGTGGGGGCAGACAAAGACCCCGAAGATGTAGGAAGATGTGGGGAATCCCTTTTAAGTTGTGTGTATATATTTTGTGTGTGCTTGTGGGCCCCTTCAGTTCTGCCGAGGGGGCACGGGCGGGCTCCCCCGTGGAGCACACACGGCTCAGGCGCTCGTTTCGCTTCGCGGAGCGACACACGGCATGGGCGCGGAAAGTTGTATTTATGGAAGCACGAGAATGGCCGGCTCAAATCTTGAACTGGGCTCCACAGCTGGACCTACGCACGCCAGCCCGGCGACGCCCAGGGCGCCCTAAGACCCGATGGGTTGACGATATCAAACAACATGTGCTGACCACCCTTGGCCACGACGATTGGACACAGGTTGCGATGTTAGAAATGTGGGACCAACTGAAGGACGATTACATTAAGATGTGAGCGGGCCTCGGCCCTCCCGGCAGCTCCCTCGCGGAGCCTTGCGCCGGCTTCCGTTCCGTTCCGTTCCGGAGCGACAGTGGGCCCGCGGCCCCCTGCCAGGATGTACAGCAGCCCGTGCTTGACGACCCAGAGCGTCGTGGACGTGCAGACCCTCCAGGACTGCCGGCGGCGCCCGTCCGGACGCCCGCCGTGGGAGGAGGGAGATAGGAAGGATGACGAGGAGGATGATGAGGATGAGGATGAGGATGAGGATGAGGATGAGGATGAGGATGAGGATGATGATGATGATGATGATGATGATGATGATGATGATGATGATGATGATGATGATGATGATGATGATGATGATGGTGGTGGTGGTGGTGGTGGTGGTGATGGTGATGGTGATGGTGATGGTGATGGTGATGGTGGTGGTGATGATGGTGATGGTGATGGTGATGGTGATGATGATGCTGGTGCTGGTGCTGGTTATGGTGCTGGTGCTGCTGCTTCTCATGATGCTCATGATGATGATGAGGAGGAGGATTATGAGGATGATGCTGATGATAATGGTGATGGTGATGGTATTGGCGATGGTGATGTTGGTGATGAGGTGATGAGCATGGAAATGATGATGAAGAAGAGGATTGATGATGCTGAGGATGATGAGGAGGACGATGATGATGATGATGATGATGATGATGATGATGATGATGATGATGATGATGATGATGATGATGATGATACTGCCGCTGATGGCGTATATGATGAAGGCGATATTGATGAGATGCTGTTATTTTGTTGCTGCTTATGTGGTTGATGTTGCTTTTGTTGTGGTTGTTGTTGCTGTTGCTGCTGCTGTTGATGTTGTTGTTCGTGGTGGTGGTGTTGCTGATGCTGCTGATGATGATGAGGATAGGCATGAGGAGGATAGGGAGGATGAGGCTGACCAGGAGGAGGATGACGATGAGGATGAGGATGATCATGAGGACGATTATGATGATGATGGTGATGACGGAGATGGTGTTGATGCTGCTGACGATGATGATGCTGATGTTGCTGCTGATGATGATGATGGTGATGGTGATGATGCTGTCGATGATAATGATGATGCTGATGATGATGGTGATGCTGGTGGTTGTGGTGGTGGTGGTGACGATGATGACGATGATGCTGATGATGCTGATGGTGATGAGGGTGGGGAGGAGGAGGACAACGTCAGCGGCCACGAGGATAGCAGCGATGAGCAGCTTTGGCAGCAGGGAGCGAGGGCCTCTCTCCCTCTGTCCCTTCTCTCTCTCTCTCTTTCTTTCTCCCCCCCCGTCTCCCTCCTTCTCCCAGTCCCTCCCCGTCCTCAGCTCATCCGCCACCTCTTCCTCCTCCTCTTTCTCCTCCTCCTTCTCCACCTTCTCCAATTGCGCATAACGCGATGGTGTCCTTTCGGAAGTTCTAGGTCTGCTGTGACACGCGTCTGCGGGTAGAGAAGAAATTCAGCGCAGTGGGACGGGATCGGTGGGAGGGGCAGGATGTCAGATGCGGCGCGAGCGCACATGGCTTGCGTTTCCCCACCCCCTATCCTCCCCCCTCCTCCTTCTCCTCCTCTCCCCTTCTCCCCCCGCGCCCCCCCTTGCCCTCGCCGTCCTCATCCCCCCTCTCTCTGCTCATCTCGAGGAGGGGGGTAGAGAGCAGAGCCTGCGACCGGGGGCCGGAGGGGAGTGAGGGGAGAAGGAAGGGAAGGGAGGACCTCCTTTTCCTGCCTTCTCCTTTCCCCCTCCTCTCTTCCCCCCCATCCGCAATTACACATAGTGCATGCCGCTCATCTCTCTCCCCTGGCTTTGTGCGGAGGATATTCGGCCCTCTCCGCGTATTATCTTTTTGCGTACAGGATTTCACACGTTCATTTGTTATTATGTTTTGTTGGTGCCATCTGATTGTCTGATTGTTTTCGGTGTTTCAGAACGGTGCTCCCGCTGCAGCGAGGGCTTTGTTTTCTTTCGGATCGGCACCATGCTGTCGTCGTTTGGAACGGCGCTCTCCCCCCTCGTTCGGGCCACTTTCCTGGATCCGAGTGCTTTTTTCATCTTTGTCGCATCCCTCATTTCCGTGTAGTGAGGGGTGAGCTGACCGTCGCACCAGTTGGGATGCGGGTCTTGCCGACAAATTTCGGATTGTGCCAAAATGGGGTCCAGCGACAAGGGGGTGATGCAATAGATTTGTTGGAATAGATTTGTGGGGTTGCAATACATTTGGGGCGTGCAATACATTCTGGGGCGCAAATGTATTGCTGGACTCTTGCGTGAAATGCATTACTCGCAATACAATGCAATACAGTTCTCCGGCGCAGTACATTTGCAATACAATTGCCCCAAATCTATTGCACCAACCTCTCTCTTTCAGCTGGACCCCCTTTTGGGTTACTCCAAACATGGCCCGCCCAGACATGTAGAGTATCGGAACCCAGCGTCGGCCTCCCAATTTGCTTTTGCTACCCTTGCCTGGCCCCAGCGCGTTCCTCCTCAGACGCGTGCCTTGCCCCCCCCCTCCCCCCTCACTCCTGCGCCCGATCGCAGGGTAACGGCGACGACATCGGCCGCGGACGTCGCGCATACCGCGGTCTGCAGGCGCAGAGCACCGAGGTGACGCCCCGGCACTGGGTGCCAAGCGCGCGATCGCGTGCACGCGCGGCGGCGCGGCGCCTCTTGTCATTCGGGGCCCTGGCAACCGCGCTGCCGCGGGTTCGAAGCTCATGGGGCGCGCGGTGCAGAAGCGGAAGTGGGAGTGGTGTCGGGGCGTGCGTTCGCTGGCGGTCTTCGGCGGCCTTCGGCGGCAATCAGAGGCCAAGATGCGCGGCGAGGTGGCCACGGTCGAACGCGTAAAGGTGCAGCGCGTGCGCTTTTCCGCACGACGCGGATGCGATGAGGCGCAAGATCGACGCTTCTCCGAGTGGCTTCGCCCTCTTCCTGCGTGGACCAAAGGCCCGCGACCTTTTTTTGAACAGCGAGAGGAGTGGGGGGGAGCCCTCCGTCCTCCTCCTCTCCCCGCACATTCCACCCCCCCTCCCCTCCCGAGCGCGGGCCCCCGAACCCCCCTCCCCCCCCATGGAGTAGATTGGTGCTGCTATTTGGCGCTCGTTCCGAGCGGCCCCCAGAGGTCGCAAAAAACAGTCGCACTCAGCAGACGTCTGGAGCCAGACCCCCCCCCCCCCTCCCTCGCCGCCGAATGTCCACGCGCCGAGTAAAAACGCCCACCCGCTCCCCCTCGTCCGAATTCTCATCCAGCCTTTCCAAGGATGTACTCCGCATGAGTGCTGCTCGCCTGCCCCCTGGGGCCCTGTCCCAGTGGGCCCTCTTCCTTCCCGCATCCGGTTTTTGACCCTCCAGGACTTCAGAATATGGCCTGCGATCGTTTTCTTATTCATTGTTTTGCCGATCGTCGCGGGCCCTCGCCCCCCCACCTCTTCTCCCGCCCTTGGGGTGGATCTCGGCTGTTTTTGGCGCCTGCTTCAGGCAGATGGGGTCTCTCCCGTATAGGGCGCGCTCTTGCAAACAGTCGCACTAAGCAGGGATCCGGAGCCCCCCCCCTCGGCCCAATATCGAAAAGCCGAAGACAAAAACGCTCGCTATGTGGTATGTACGTGGAATTTCTCCTTAGTTGGAGCGCTTCTGGCGTATCTACAGTGAAGCTCCCAGTGCAGCGCGGGCTTCATTTTGGGGCCCAGCATGGCGCCGGGCGGGCCAGAATTCTACGTCCGAAATTTTCCTCGTCGTGGTCTCCCCGCTCTTTTCTTCACCTCCGTCTCTCCCTCGTCCTCTTCCTGCTCCTCGTACCCGTGGTCCTGCCGCCCCTCCTCGTTTTCTGCCGTCCTCGTATTCCTTTTTGCTTATCCGCCACCTCCTCCTCGTCGTCCTCCTCCTCGTCCTCTTCCTCCTCCCTTCTCCTCCCTCCTCCTCCCTCCTCCTCCTCCTCCTCCTCCTCCTCCGCCTCCTCCTCTTCCTCTTCCTCCATTGCTCACGTCTTCCAGTGTCCTCCTTCATGCGCATTTCACGGTCCTGCAGGGGGGGATCCCTGGTCTTCCGTGCCAGCCCGTCGGCGGATAGAAAACACATCCGGCGCAGCGGGACAAGAGGAGGAGGAGGAGGAGGAGGAGGAGGAGGAGGAAGAGGAGGAGGAGGATGAGGAAGAGGAGGAGGAGGAGGAGAAGGAGGAGGAGGAAGAGGAGGAGGGGACAGATGTCAGCTCTGGCGCGAGTGCACCTAGCTTGCCCGTCCCCGCCCCCGTCCTCCCTCCCGCTCTGCGCCCCCAGACCCCCTTTGGCAATCAAAATCATGACGGGAAGTTTTTCTTTGTTATTGGCCTCGGGGGGTCCTTGCCGGCCTTCGGGGCCGTCAAACAACGACTCAGGACGAAAAGCCAGTCCTGGGGAACGGGTCGAGACCTCGGGGTCGACGTAATGACAAAATCATGACGTCGGGGGTCTGGGTCCCCCGTCCCTCCCCTGCTTCCCAAAACTCCGCCGTCGTCCTCATTCGCGCAGCGCGGCGCACAGGCCTGGGCCCCTGTTCCGGGCACCGCGTTTGACAGTCCCGGGGCCATTGGTCTGACAGTCCCAGGGCCTGGCGAGGGCTCCCGGAAGCCAGCAGCTGTCCCAAAACTCGTCGCCGCGACGGCTTCACAGCGCGAGGGGGGGTCCTCCCCTCCCTCCCCCCATCGGTCGGGGCTAGGACGAACCCGTTCAGGGCGTTCCGGAACGCCGTCACAGCGTTCCCGAATTCGCTGGGAAGGCCGCGGCGCCCGAGACGTGTTCCTGATCCGCAGGATCTCAAAGATTCTCGACGAATCTTTTCACGATCCTTCCCCCGTTTCTAGCTTCATCTTGCCCCAGCCCCTGAGATCCGACGTTGCCAAAACATTGCAACACTGCAAATGATTACGACTAGCCCCCCCCGGACCCGCTCTTCCCGCTCCATTCTTCGAGCCCGTTCGAGGCGTGAGGGCCCCAGGGCCCGAACTGGGGCGAAAACGTCCGGCTCGAACAAAAAAAAGTTGAGCCGCCAGGATCTCAGGGCCCCCCCCTGGGGGCCAGGACGCGCTGGAGAGCAAGATCTCTTGGAAGCAGGCCGTCGACAGGGCGATGCGGCCCGTGGCGCCCCTCCCGTGCGAGACGTCCCGGCCGCCCGGCGTGGACCGGCCGCCGCGCGCCCCTGGGGGCCTCTCCGCGAGGTCGGGGGCGTTTATCGACGACGAAGCTACGTACGTACACAGGGGCGCGAATAATGACACGAGCATGAGAGATCGGAGGGCCGCGCGGATCTCTCAGATCCGCGCTGGACCCCTTTGGCGGCGCCTCCGGTGCCGCCCCTGGCGCGCTCCGCGCGCAAGGGAGGGGGGTCCAGCGCCGATCCGAGAAATCCACGCGGACCTCCGAGTTTTGATGTTTATGTCATTCTTCGCTTCCCTAGTACAATCGAAACGCTGTCACATGGAGCCTTAATAAGGAGCGAAGCCCCCTTTTTTCACAAGTTCGACTTGGTTTTTCCCATGAAAAACCGAGGAACATCTCAGGCAAACTGTAAAACAAACAGGGAAGACGGAGCCCCTCCCCAACGAAAAGGGTTCCTTCTTCAGCGGCCCGACTGTAAGCTCGGATGCAGTTTTTCCTCCTTCACTCCCCGAGTTCCCGCCCGAAGAGTTCGGCTGTTCGGGAGACTGAAGTTCGCATCGTTCTTCCTCTTGTTTGCGTTGCTGGATAGCGGCGCTGTTGTCATGTGTTCCTTTTTTTCCACGAGTTTCATTCCTCGTGCTTATTTTCAACGTTTGGAGTCGTTTCTCTCCCCGTTAAAAGCGAACGCGTTTTAGCGTCGTTGTCTTCGGACCTGGGCGGCTGCCGTCGAAGACGAGGGCGGGCTCCCATTGATGGCCCTGCGGTCTGAGAGGAAGTCTGGCCTTGATCACGGCCGCACTTGGGTTCACTGCTCGCGGCTGCGCGCGGGGCGAAGCCTTTCCGATAATCCCAGCCCGTCCGAGAGTGAGCTCGGTACCGACTGCGGCCAGGGCGTCAATGCATTGTCGAAGGCGTCGGGCGACTGCGATACGTGGACCGAAATGCACTTCGCATCTGCGTTGCAGGTCGGGCGCGAAACCGAGCGCAATCTAACGCTTCAAATCGATCTCGACTCGTGTCCGTTGGTTCTAACTTGTATCGTCCCAGGCGTGGTCTTTCAGAATGGTGGGTGTGATGGTCGGTGGTGGTTGGTGGTGATTGGCGGTGATTGGGTGGTTGTCGGTGTTGGCGTTGCTGGTGGTGCTGGTGATGGTGGTGGTGCTGGTGATAGTGGTGGTGTTGGTGTTTGTGCGTGTTTGCCCATGGTTGCGCGTGGGCGGTGCGCGTCAGTGAGCGGTGGTTTGGCGGGGGCTGGGAAGGGGCGGGGAGAGGGTGGTGGTGGTGGTGGTGGTGGTGGTGGTGGTGGTGGTGGTGGTGGGGTGGGTGGGGGGGGGCAGTTACCCCGCTTACAGAAACCCTTCAAATGATATACTAAAGCGGTTTCCCAGGAGTTGTGAGGGCTTTGACGTGAAACCCCCTGACGTGTCAGACGCCTTGCCTTTCCTGAGGGCCCGTTCCCAGCGGTATTCCCTTGGTGGCGCCACCAGCTATCAGTCCACTGCCCGTTTTTTCGCGCACCCACCATCAGTCCCCCAGCTTCCACTTTTTCCAATATCCACCTCCTGCTTCGACCTCTTCCAGCTTTCAGTCCCCTTATCCTCATCTTCCTCATCCACCTCGTCCACCTTTTCTCCCGCCCACCGCATCCCTCCTGCCGTCGTTCGTCTCCCCCAAGTCCCACTCCGCCCAGTGAGCGTTGCTGTTGGGATTGGTTGACACGTTGTTCCATCGCAGGGATCGAGGTAGACAGTGTGTTGGGGATCCCGTGGGCCTCTTCCGTTTTGGTTCGGTATCGCAGCAGAGGCGGAACACAGACATCACGAGGGACAGCGGTGACAACACGAAGGCCGACAAAAATGTCTGGGTCGGGCCCTGGTCCATCGCGTCCCGATTCCCCCCTCTTATTTCTCCGGCAGGCCGTGGCATCGAGCGCCCGCCACGTCGGCACGGACCCGCTCGCCGCGGGCCCCCGACGCCACCCCCACAGCCAGAACGCGAGCGATGGAAGAGGCACCGATGACGAAGGTGGCGTGGCGAGAGAAGACGGCCGAGGTCAATGCTGGCAGTTGGGCGTCGCGTAATGGGGGGATCGTAAATGGGGGGGTGGCGAGGGTGGTCCGATAAGGTACCCAAACGGTACCTAAACGAGCCCCCTGGGGCTCCGGAGGAGCCCGAAAGGGGCACGAAAGGGGACCGTTTCTGACCCCCCCGTTTATGACCCCCCCGTTAAGTCACGCCCAAAGAAAAAACACCTCTGCAGATTTTCCCAGCCTCCAGCAGCGTGATGCCGAAGAAGAAAAAAACGCCATGAACACAAACTTTTGGCGCTCCGCGCGGATTTCCTGGATCCGCGCTGGGCGGCGCCTCCAGCGTCGCCCCTGGCGCGCTCCGCGCACCAGGAAGGGGGTCCAGCGCAGATCCAAGGAATCCGCGCGGAACGCCACAAGTTTATGTTTGTACAGTTTTTTCTTGACAGGTCGCGCCAGCCACCCCTTCCCCCCTCCCCCACCCCGTCCTCGAGCAGCGCGCCGAACAGCCTGGTCTGCCTGCGCCCGCCCTCACCACTCGCCGCGGAGGCCGCCGCCGCCGCCGACGTCGGCGCCGACGCCGACGACGGCGACGTCGACGACAGCGACGCCGTCGTCCCCTCCTCCTCCTCCTCCTCCTCCTCCTCCTCCTCCTCCTCCTCCTCCTCCCTCCTCCTCCTCCTGGCGACGGCGTCGCCGTCGACACGTCGACGCGCCGACGCCAGAACGTCGACGTCGGCGGCGGCGCGGGCGGCTCGCCGGCGAGCGGCCGTCGCTCGCGCGCGCGCGCCGATGCCGCGGGCGGGCGCCGCGCAGGACCGGCTGCTGCTGAGCGGGCTGTGCCACGCGAGGGAAGCGGCGGGCGCCCGGTCGCCTGCCGCCGCCCTCCGCTGGGGACGACGACGACGACGACGACGACGACGACGACGACAAGGACGACGACGACGACGACAAGGACGACGACGACGACGAGGAGGACGACGAGGACGACGACGATGGTGATGATGATGAGGAGGAGGAGGAGGAGCAGGAGGAGGAGGAGGAGGAGCAGGAGGATGAGGAGGAGGAGGAGTAGGAGGATAACGACGGCGACGATGAGGAGGAAGTGGAGGAGAAGGTTGAGGAGGATCAGGGAGAGGAGGAGTTGGTGAGGATGAGCAGGATGAGGAAGAGGAGGTGGATGGTGATGATGACGAGGAGGAGGAGGAGCAGGACGAGGAGGAGGAGGAGGAGGAGGATGATGATGTCGATGATGCTGCTGCTGCTGCTGCTGATGATGATGATGATGATGATGATGATCATGATGATGGTGGTGGTGATGATCATGGTGATGATGCTGATGCAGATGCTGATGCTGATGATGATGATGATGATGATGATGCTCATGCAGATGATGCTGATGATGGTGACGATGATGTTGACGATGATGCTGATCATGACGCTGATGATCAGGATGATGCTGATGATGAGGATGATGATGATGACGATGACGATGATGATGGTGATGATGATGATGATGATGATGTTGATGACGACGCTGATGATGATGAGGATCATGAGGATCAAGGGGATGATGAGGTTGAGGAGGGTGTTGAGGATGATGCTGAGGATGACGATGATGGTGTTGGTGATGATGATGATGATGGTGGTGGTTATTACTATGATGATGTTGTGCTGATTCTGATGATGGCGATGATTTTTGTGATCATGGTGGCGCCCCCTTATTCATCTTATTATGTCATTGTGATGCTGATGATGGTGATGATGACGAGGATGATGATGGTGATGATGATAATGACGCGGATGCTTTTGATGCTGCTGCTGCTGATGGTGATGGTGATGTTTGTGATGCTGTTGATGGGGGTAGTTGCTGATTTATGAATAGATGATTGTGATGATTTGATGATTATGATGATGAGGGTGATGATGATGGGGATGGTGATGATGATGCTGATGATGATGATTCAATTTGATGCTGCTGATAACGATGATGATAATGCTGATGATGCTGTGATGATTTGCGAGGATGATTCATGATGGTGCTGATTGTGATGATGATAAGGATGATGATGATGGGGATGGAAAACATGATGATGGTGATACTGATCATGAGGATGATGAGGATGATTCATTGTGATGGTAATGGTAACGATGATGATGATGATGATGATGATGATGCTGATGGCGCTGATGATGCTGTGATGATTGGCGAGGATGATTCATGACGATGATGGTGATGCTGATGATTATGATGATGATTATGATGATGATGGGGATGGTGATGATGATTATGCGGATGATTCATGACGATGATGATGATGATGATGCTGATGATGATGATGACGGGGATGGTGATGATGATGGTGATACTGATGCTCATGATGCTGACGACGATGATGATGCTGATGCTGTTGCTAATGCTGATTACGATGACGATGGTGATGACGATGCTGGTGATGCTGATGCTGATGCTGTTGTTATGATGATGATGGTGATGACGATGCTGTTGATGCTTATGATGATGATGATGATGATGATGATGATGATGATGATGATGGTGATGATGGTGATGATGGTGATGGTGATGGTGATGGTGATTGTGGTGGTGATGATGATGTTGATGATGATGTTAATAATGATAATAATGATGCTGATGACGATGATGATGATGGTGATGATGATGATGATGATGATATTGATGATGATATTGATGATGATGCTGATGATGCTAATGATGATGACGTTGACGATGACGATGATGATGATGATGATGATGATCATGATGATGGTGGTGGTGATGGTGATGGTGATGGTGATGGTGATGATGATTGTGACGATGACGATGACGATAACGATGACCGTGATGATGATGATGATGATGATGATGATGATGATGATGATGATGATGATGATGATGATGATGATGCTGAGGATGACGATGATGGTGATGAAGGTTCTGATTTTGATGATGCCGATTATTATTCTGATCATGGTGGCGAGCCCTATCCTCCTCATCCTCCTCCTTTTCCTCCTCATTCTCATCAACAGCAGCAGCATGGTCATGGCAGACACGTGGTCAAGAAGTGTGCATCGCAGGCGGTGCGAATAGTAGTGAGAAGCGTGGAAGCAGGCAGATTGGGGAGACGGGTAATCTGCAAAGTCAGCCAAGAAGCGAGGCGGGATGGGAGGGGAGTAATGGGATATTGAGGAGTGAGAGATAAAGGGTAGAAGGTGCAGGAAGACAAGGGGGAACATGGAAAGGGAGGATGAGTAGAAGGGGTGAGCAACTGAAGAAGATTACCAGGAAAAAGGGCTAGCCACTTAGTCAGCTCAACGTCGCAGCAGGAAGTAGGACAATTGAGGACCCGCTCCAGTTCAGTGCCCTGACTGAAGTGGCGCGCGAGCATCTCCGTGTTGGGCCCGATCCCCTTCAGAACGTGTTCCAGAGTGAACCCGGGCTTGGGCTAGTTTTAGGCCTCGCCTCGGCGCCCAAGGGGGGCCCAGAGTCCTCAAGCCATGTCTCCCAGGGCGTGTCCGAGGTGGCCCAGCGGTCTGTGCATGCAGGAGCGCGTGCCACCGACGAGCCCCTCCTGCCAACCCGCAGCCGCTCGGGCTCATGGCCGCCCGACCTGGTCGAGGGGGTCCTGCGGTCTTCCAGGGCGGCTCGAAGCCAAGGAGGCTCGGCCCACTCGCAGACGAGGCGGTCCCCCACACGCCCCGTCGAGCGGCATGCCTGGCTGCATGCCGGCAGAGCTCTCTGCTGCGGCGGGGGCGGCCGCCTCGCTGGCCGCCGCCCCTGCCCCGGAGCAGCCCGTTGCGAGCGAGGATGCCTGCACCATCCGAGGCTCTTCAAGACGTGTGCTGGCCCTCCTCCTCCTCCTCCTCCTCCTCCTCCTCACCCCAGCGGGCGCTGCCAGAAGTCGTGGCGGGAGGCCTCTCCGTACCGTCGGCCTCTGGGGGCCCTCACCGGAGGGCCTCGGGGCCGTCAGAGAAGGACTCGGGAGGAAGAGCCGGTCCCGGGGAAGGGGTCGGGAGCTCTCAGGGTCGACGTTGTGAAAAAGTCCATGACGTCGGGGGTCTGGGATGTGAGCTTGTTCCAGTCCACTCCGCCGACAGCACGCGGCCTGTGGTGGCCCTCGTTGCATGGCCTGCGTCGTACCGGTGGGCTTCGGTGGACCCGCACAGCCTGGCGCCAACACGCGTTCTGCGGATCCTCGAGCCATGCGGGTGCTGGTGCAGAACACTTTCATCGAGGTCGTCGCGGAAGGCCACAGCTGCGCGCGCGCCCGGCGCGTCCACTCGGCGCCCGCCGCGCCATCGCCGAGGACGGTCGAGGGCATGCAGGCCTTCCAGTGCGACGCCGCGGAGGCGGGCATCGATGCCACGGGGCGCTTCGGCAGCCCGTCGGGTGGCGAGAACGGCGCGGGGCCCGTCGATACCCGCACCACCGTGGTGATGCGGAACCTGCCTCCCGGCTACACCCGCGACCTCCTCCTGGAGCAGCTCGATGCGCACGGCTTCTCGGGGCTCTATGATTTCGTCTACATGCCCTTCGAGTTCGGCTCCGGCACGAACTTCGGGTTTGCCTTCGTGAACCTCACGGGGCCCGAGCACGCCGCCCGCTTCAAGGCCGAGTTCGAGGGCTTCTCCGCGTGGCAGGAGCACTGCCAGCGCGAGGCGGCGGTGGGCTGGAGCTTCACGCAGGGCTACCAGGCCCACGTGGACCGCTTCCGGAACAGCCCCGTTATGCACGAGGCCATGCCGGACGGCTGCAAGCCCGCCGTGTTCGAGAACGGGGTGCGCGTGGAGTTCCCGCCGCCCACGCGGAGGCTGCCGCCTCTGAAGCGGCAGCGGCGGCGCCACAACCCGGTCGGCCTCGGCGGGGCCCCCGCGCTGGCCCTCGGGGGAGAAACCGCGCCATACGCAGAAGCTTTTGGCGCTCCGCGCGGATCTCTTGCATCCGCGCTGGGCCCCCCCCTGGCGGCGCCTCCGGCGCCGCCCCTGGCGGGCTCCGCGCGCCAGGGGGGGGTCTAGCGCGGATCCCAGAACTCCGCGCGGAGCGCCAAAAGTTTGTGCTTATGGCGTTCACGGCTTCTATTTCTATGGCGTTCCACTGCTCGCAAAGTGCCTCCTCGCAAACGTCCGAACAAAACACGCACACACACACTCGCGCCTGAATCGGAGCAACGTATCGCAAGCGCCACCCCATGGCGGATTCAGGACATTTGCGAGTAATATTCCCAGACATGCGACGCCCTCCTGACTTTTTCAGGACGGCGTCCCCGGAAGGCCCCGCCGGCCCTTTCCGCGGGACCGGTTTTTCGTCCTGAGTCGTATTCGGTCCCGAGGCCTGGCGGGGGCCCCCCGGGGCCGAGAATGCCCTCAAAAACCTCCCGTCTTGATTTTTTACGACGCGATCATGTCTGGGTCCCAGACACCCGGCTGCTTCAATTTCTTTGGGAGGTGGACCCAGGAGGTCAGGACCATTTCCCTGGGACCGGTTTCTCGTCCCGAGTCGTTTTTTGACGCTCTCGAGTTGAGTGTGTGTTTTTGAGGCAAACTAGCTTCAGAAATTAAATCAAAAAGCTCTAGTATTACTCTGATCCAACTCTGCTTCAACTCTGGCCCGGAACTGTGTTTCATTTTTGATTTTCTCGAAACTCTGATTTAGCCCTGGTCTGAACTCTGATTTAACTCTGATTCGGCTCTGTCCCCAACTAGAGCTAAATCAGAGTTAAAGCAGAGTTCCAGACCAGAGCTAATTCAGAGCTTCAGCTAAACCAGAGAGATGAGCCAGAGTTTCAGACCAGAGCCAAATCAGAGTTTCGTAAGAAACCGCCCGCACGGAACTCAATAGTAGAAGGGGGGA